ATAATAAGAGCCGACGTTATCTTTAACTTATTAACTTATAGATAACAGTTCGGTTAAAAAGGTTAAAAACAGATACGAGTTACTAAGGCACCTTAATTCGTGTTGCTAGTACGAATTCGACTATCTATACCGTTAGGTATATATACCGCTTATTCTAATATAACCTATAACTGCCGTAAGCTCTACTATTTATACTTAAGATTAATAGTAGTAGAGCTAGTTTTCCGAGGTAGACTATTACGTCGTAGGTAAAGGAGCGTTTAATAGCTTTAGGTTTCGATAATAACGGGTATACCGGGCATTTATTACGTTAAGGTAGTATATAGCGAGTATAAAATAATAACTATTCGGAGTTTAAGTTATAGGTATTAGGCCGCTAGCGATCGACTACGTAGTAATAGTATATTTAGTACTCGGAGAAGGAACTTTTCAGACTCTTAGTAAAGGCGCAAGGTAGTACGGATACGGAGACTAGTAGAGGAGCACTCTAGATATATTAGATAACCCTATTATAGCCGGAACTTTTTAGTAACGGACATAGCGTTAAAGATGTTTTAGAGATATATAACGTTCTTTTACGACGCAATTAGCGAAGGTAAGGTAGCGCTAGTAGCTAGCGTTTTAGAGTTTTTCCACTCGGTAAGGTAGTACAGGTTCCAGTCAGTGCTAGCGTAGTATAGCAGGCTGTCTATAGGCCTCTAAGGTACGAACGAGTACCTCTAAGTGTCTAAGCCCCCTATTATTACTACTATTCACTTACCTATATTCTCGTACAGTACAAATTACTCGAAGTATACAGATTTGTTAGTCTGTATATAAGAGCTAGATGCTAGTACCCCCCTTTTACTATAACTTAGTATCCTTTACTCTACTTAGTATCGTATGCCTACCTGCCTACCTGTAGATATACGCGTTTATAACGCTACTTTCGGGCCTCTAAGGTACGAACGAGTACCTCTAAGCGTCTAAGCCCCCTATTATTATTACTATTCACTTACCTACATTCTCGTACAGTACAAATTGCTCGAAGTGTATAGACGAATATACGACGTAGAATTTATCAATTTTAGTAAATGAAGGCACTACTCTAGTAGAAGCGAAAGGACCGAGATTAATAGCGGAATCTCTATAATTACTATCTATAGAGTTAGTAATTTAGCCTCTTCTATCTCTCTAGAATAGCCTAATAGTATAGGAGTAATAGTTACGCTATAGTACGAGGAGTATACACGTAACGATATAAGCCTAGAGTACGCTAGGCAATTCGTATAAGATCTTATCTATAAGTAATCGCTTATAACCTAATATAAGAAAATATCTAGAGGATAGAGAAGGAGAAGAAGAACTATATAAGATCTCCTTGACTTAGTTAGAAGGACGAGTAGATAGAAGTAGATACTTAGTAGTAGAGAGTAAATCCTACTACTAAGAAACTCTATAACTTAATCGAACCTCTATTTAATCGTTCCATTCTAACGTACCTACTACTTCTTATAAGGATTTAGGAGTCCTAAAGTTTATATAAGAGACAAATGAAACAAAGTCTTATAATAGAGTTTTTCTATATACCTCGAGGATACTTTTATAGTTAGAAGGAGTCTCTTTCCTTATACTAAACTTACCTCTAATTACAAAGTATAGGTACTTCGTATACGCTCTCTACCTATCATTTAGTCTATATACAAGGAATAAATACTAGCATCCCCTCCTACTAGATAAGTACTAGGTACCCGATTAGAGTATATATAGTAGGGGGCTAATCCCTAAATAGTTATACTAGACCCTTGCAATATTCTTACAGTCTAATAATCTACGCTCTATACTACTATATACCTTTTTATTAGCTAGTCTTCTCTCTTAATTACTAATAATATAGATAAAGAAGAGGCTTATAGCGTAAGACTATAGAAGTAAATTTAGATATACTAGTTACTTAATACGATAGTATAGTACTTGGTATATATATATATATATCTCTCTATCTAATAATAACTACTTGAAATTCGACTTCTATCGTATCCTACTATACGTCCGACCGGTATTACTAGTCTACCCCCAAGCGATTTCTAGCGTCGTACGAGTGTAGAGTAGCTATGTACAGTCGCTTACTCTAGGAAGCAGCCTAGCCCGCTCGCTATATACGGCGGAAGTAGGCCTCTACTTCTAGCGACAGCGAGGTCGCTTCTAAAGACCTAGTAGAGCAAAGCCTATAATCGCTTCTTTAAGGCTTCGAGATCTAGGCTATCGCTACCTAAGATCTATTCCCTCTATATTTATGAGTATATCTTAATTGCAAGTTTATTAGCTAATTAGATCTTCTAGGCGGACTAGTAATACTAGTCAAACGTATAGTAGTACACAATAGGTCTATAGTTAACAGTACTTAAAGGTATATTAATAATATATCGAATACTTAAAGGACGAGCATTTTCTAGAAAGCTAGCTATTAACAAAAGCGTAAGGAGCTGATATGTTAAGTTTAGATATCTAGATATATTAGTAAACTCTACTTAAAAAAGATCTCTATAGTAGGAGATTTGAGACTAGCGATAGCTTTTTAGCTATAACTAAAGGTATCCTTAATTAATAGATATAGTAGATGTAGTAGAGATAGCTAGTATGAGAGGATTTTTATATAGATGTAAGATAGCGCTAGGCTAGTAGCTAGAGGAATTAGCTATAGGCCTCTAAGTTACTACCTATTCTATCTAAAAATCGAGTAGTAGGTTCTACTATAGCGCGCGCTCCCGAATTAAGTATAGAAAGCTAAGTTATAATTAAACGGGGTTACTAGTACTTACCTCTAATATATTCGAGGGTCTGTATATAAGGGCTTATACTAGCACTCCCCTTTTTACTATAGTTTAGTATCCTTTACTCTACTCTCTAAGTAGCGCGATAGACTATATTATTTTAGTCGAGGCCCGTATAATTAGTTAGTCTATATACGAGAGCTAGATACTAGCACCCCCCCCTTCTACTATAACCTAGTATCCTTCACTCTACTTAGTAGCGCGCGTCTACCCGCCTACTTATAGATACGCGCGTATTTACGCTACTTACAGGCCTTGATAAGGTCCAAACGAGTATCTTAAAGTATAGTAATAGTATTAGTACTATTCGTTAGTAATTTTATATATATCGTTATATTAGCTTTGTAATCTTATATCTCTTCTTTAAAATATATGTTTGGCATAGTAAATATTCTTATTATAGTAGATATCTAGAGATATCCAAATTTGCTAAACTATAGTTAATAACAATATAATAGACTTAGACCTAAGAGGAAACCGATAATATTAGAATAAGAAATAGTCTAAAAGGTCTAAAATAGATACTAAAGGGGTAAGCCCGCCGCTAGGTAGCCTAATTGGGTAACTAGCGCTTATCTAGTAGTAGCTAAAATACTACTAGACCCCTTAGAAGAGCTAGAAGTGCCTAGGGGTGACCCTGCCGCGAGATGCCAAATAAGGCATCTAGTACCTACCTAGGACAACCTAGCTAAAAATCTACGATTAGGTTACGAGATAGGACCATTAAAAACATATACAAAACATATCGAATACTAGCTATGTCTTGTGTTACGAGCCCGTACTAGGGTTTACGAAGATGTCTAGAGGATATATAGAGACCTCTTTCTCCCCTAAGGAGAGAAGGAGGCAAGCAACTCCTTCTATACTTAATCTACCTACCTACTCTTTACTTACCTACCTGCCTTCTATCTTAGCTACTAGCTACGCTACTAGCTACTCTACTAGATCTCTATAGTGTAACACTTCTTATACTATCTCTACGACTTATAGACGCTCTACGGCTACCTATAGTACTACTGTTCGGCATAACTACGCTCTATACTACAGTATGCCCTCTAATAGATAGTAAAGACGTAAAAAATATTAGCTACGTTATAGTACTAATAAAGAAAGGTATTTTGTAAGAAGCTAAAGTAAGGGAGTAGAGATAAGCTAGCCTGCGTATGGACCCTACTATCTTCGGCCGGACCTACCGATCCGAAATTAATTAAGCGATAAGTAATTGGAAAGAAAAGTCCCTTTAAAGCTACTAGTCTACTCTCCTTAGTCGTCTACATTTCCGTAGTAGTCCTAACGATCCTAGATAATAATAGCTACGACTCGGCGGTCGCTTATACTAGTAGTCGAAAGGTATCCTATAGTCGTAGGCGTCTGCGTCCTGCCCTCCCTGCTACTACGGATTATATATACCGTAGTAGTATCCTCAAGCAGTCGTGCCTCTATATTTTATATCAGATCTCTAAATGTCTAAGCCGAAGCTCCCATAATGTTCGCGATAGAGGCCGTCTGCGTGCTTTTGTATATATGGGCAGGCTTTATAACACTAAAGAAGGTCGCTCGAGAGTTCATCGAGCAGTACAAGCTAGGTAATACTAAGGACCGCAACAATCTGCGGGATTAAGAGAGCGGCTATGCTCCGCGACCACAACCTAGGCACCAAGCTTCTCGCCCACGCAAAGAGAGCCATGTAGGCGACTACAAGCCTGGTCGTCTAAATATCAACGACATCATAAAGTTTCACATACCATCGAGAAAAGGAGCAGCTTTTCTGCGGCACCTGCTAGATAGGCATTTCGGTTTGGTCCAGCGTTAAAGCGTCAAGGTTTGCTCCCGAAGTGTGCAGCTTGTCTATCTCAATGTTCACGACTCCAAACTCTTTCGTGTATAACTGCAAGTCCGGTCAGGGGTTCAATATGTTCTCGCGTTATCATATCATCCTATTGCAGCATGATTATGCGTCGAAAATGCATGCTCAAATCGAATGGAATCCTCAGAAAGCAGTGGAAGTCTTGATTCTTCGGCTACTTGATCCACGAGCTCTCGCAGAGCCTCTGCGTGCGGACGAGCTGGGAGTAGAGTTCGTTCTCCTCGGCGCCTGCACAGAGCGCGATGAGGATGACGCAGAAATAGCGTCAGACCTTGTGGACATAGTGAGCAAGGTCTTCTCAAATTGCAGTGCGTGGGCACTTACTTCTCACAAATCTTCGTAAACGCATTCAGAAGGGTCTGCGAGCAATTAGTGCTGGTCAAAGAGCAGGGTCATCATCCCTACCATGAAATCTTGATCCTCCATTGATCCCAATACAGCAGACTTAGACAGCTTGGCTGCTGTCACTCTGGGACTGCTGATTCCGAAGGCGATACGGGCCAGATATCGTGCATCATCCCGGTCTGGAACAGCCTCCAATATCTTGGAAAACGCACCAGAGTTCCACTCGCGCTTCCGAGGCTCCACCTTTTCTACGGCTGTACGTGTCTCACACCAAGTGCAATGACCGCACTCACTGGCGTCATCTGGTAAACGGTCACCGAAATGCTGCGCGAGGCTGCGGGATAAGCAAGCCTCGTCTGTGATCAAATCCATGACCTCCTTCATTCGCTCCATGGCCTGCATCTCCCGAACTTCGAGATCTTTGTACAGGGCATTGAGAATGTCGTCTTGCTCTTTCGCAGGCAGCGGCCACTGCTTCTGAACCCGAAAGACATTGAAGACATTGCTCGCCGTGAGGTCGATGAGGCCTTGATCATTCCAAGCATTCAACTTGGTAACTATGTCTCCACGGGACACACCGCCTTGTTGAGCGGCGACGTCCACATCAACGGTCCACACAGTCTTTCCACAGCTTGCACAACCGTTAACAGCTGTGCCAGCCGGTGAACTGTCCCATTTGATGTTGCCAAGTAATTTCCAGGAGTATTTGCCGTACTTGGGTGTCTTTGCGCGGATAAGGCCGAAGCGCAGTTCCAATGCGCAGAAGATATTGCCAAGGGTAGTGAGCTATCGAGGCATCAGCATTGTTCTTGTAGAAACCCGTGCATCTCAGCCGCCATCTACACACTTGAGAGATGCTAGCTTGTTCAGCATAGGCGTCCAAAGGAGCTGACAAGCTATTTCGATGCACCACAGCCTGGGAGATAGAAGCTCGCTTACCTTGATGTCGTGCTCTTTCGAGAGATGGTAGAAGCTAACCTCCAATGCGGACTCGGGCGCAGGTGTGGGATGCAGGGAGAAAATGGATCGCAGCAGCTCACTGACAGATTTCTTGGACGGCAAGTCACCTCTGGCAAAGCTCTCGCGAAGGTGGAAGTCTTCTGCACAAAGGTACAGCATGCAGTGACTCTCTTTGCCATCTCTGCCAGCTCTGCCGATCTCCTGGGAGTAGCCCTCCAACGATCGAGGGATATCATAGTGCACGATGTTGCGTATATCCGCCTTGTCGATGCCCATTCCAAACGCAATCGTGGCGACCACGATGCCATCGTCAGACGCCATGAAACGCTCCTGGACCAAGACCTTGTCCTCATTCTTCATGCCTGCGTGAAAATATGCCGCGTTGAAGTTGAGGTTGATCAGGCGCTGTGCTAACTCCTCAGCCTGCTGTTGAAGGGTGACATAGATGATAGTGGGCCCTGGGTGGGCCTTGAGAAAGGCTCGAAGCTTGGGATACGACTCGGCTTTGGTTTGATAGGCCTGTGCCTGTAGACGCAGGTTTGGTCTGTAGGTTGAGGTTCTGAAAAGACCAGTCTCAGGAATGTCAAAGGCCTTGCAAACATCCTGGGCGACTTGCGGCGTTGCCGTCGCCGTCAGACATACCACTCTCTCGGCTCCAATTTCCTTGGCAAATCGGGCAACCTTCAGATAGTCCGGACGGAAAGCGTGGCCCCATTCTGATATGCAATGAGCCTCGTCGACGGCCAACAATCGAACACCGCCCTTGACGTTCGCCATTGAGGACACAAAGCCCTCGTTGTTGAGACGTTCGGGTGCGCAATATAGTATATCGAGCTCACCGTTACGCATCATGGTCATCGTCTGGAGATACTGTTCCTTCGTCTTTGTGGAGTCCATTACAGCAGCTGCGATTCCACGCCGTTGCAAGGCATCCACTTGATCCTTCATCAGTGCAATCAGCGGCGACACGACGAGGGTAATGCCGGGCTCTGCAGTAGTTTGTCGAATCCCGGAGAGTTTGTCGAGCTCCTTGAAGCAGAGGGCGGGGACTTGATAGCAGAGCGACTTGCCACCTCCCGTGGGGAAGACCACCACGGAGCTCTTGCCGTCGAGGAGTCTTGCGATTGCAGCCTCTTGCTTCAGTCGGAAGGCTTCCATCCCGAAGCGTTCTCGGAGTACTCGACGCGCGACGTCAGTAGACGTGTCGGAGGCAGTGTCGTCCAGTTGACTATCGTCCGGTTGACCAACGCGAGCTCTCTTGGTCTCGGTGTTGAGAGCGTCGTCACTCTCACTCTTGCGCTTTCCACCGGTGGCGCACGTCGTAGTGTCGATTCGCAGCAGTGCTTCCTCCACGTCCGAGGAGAGACCAAAGTCGTCTTCGCTTGGCTGACCCATCATGTCAGGATTGCGGCGTGTAGGTGCGCGCCGCCGTACGAAGGGGCAGGACTCCGAGGATCTGAGAATTATCCGTTTCACTCAGACAAGTGGTCAGAAGATGAGAAGGTGAGAACATGAGAGGAGGGACCGCGACACTGAAGCCGTAGATAATAAGGTAAGTTACCTAGCTGTGGTAGGAACGGCCCAGCGACGTCGTTGTGGCAAGACAGGTCATGTCCTCGTTGGTTCACTCATGTTGCAACGGAAGTTCAGGACCGACCCGACGCGGACGTGACGCGACTTCCGGTTCCTTGTCCGGCAATTGAAACCTTCTCGACGCGATCCGAACTCCGAGGCACGTGCAGCACGTGATACATATCTCCGTCTCGCGACAGCGTCTTTACCACTCGGTGTGTCGGTGAGAGCATTTGGCCTGCAGAGTCTCGTGCTGCATACGAGCTGCATTGGATTTCAATCGTACAAGGTAACTGCGGGGAGACCGCATTATTCACTTCAACACAGCGCCCGAGTTGAGGTTCTGGCTGTCCAACTCTTCTTGCTGTTCATTCCCCTCCACCAACCTGTCCCAAGCCGCCCGATCGAACCTCTCTGCCTTTCCCTTGTTATGCTGAGCACGTTCATTGATCTTGCCCGTGGCATGCTTGCCACCCGGCAACACTCCTTCGGGCAGCTTCTGACCCTTCTCGCCGAGAATGGCACCAGGGGTAGGATTCCGCTGCTTGCCAACTTTTGCCTGCGCATTGTCCTTCTTTCCCACGCCCGGCTCAGCGCCGTACCCAGGATCTAAGGCCATGTCCTTCAGCTGCTGAATCGCCTCCGCGTCTCCTTCTGCAGCCTTTACCCTCAGTTCTCGCCTCTTCTGCTTGTCGAATCGCTTGGCTTTGTATGCTGCAAGCCTCTCGTCCGGTGTTGGAATCGGTGGTCTTGCTTCCACGGGTGCGCCGAAGGGAGAGACGATGGATGCCACCACATGTCCTACAGTCTTAGCCACGCGCAATCGGTGGAGCTCCACCACGTCTCCTTGCACCAGCGACGAGTTCGGGTCGTGTACAAGATGGTTCTCTTCGCTGCGATAATACTGCGTTCATGTGAGCTTGGCCAGGTTCCACGCTCTAACAAAGTACATCCTTACCTTGCCAATGCGCTTGTTCCATTTCTGGCCAGCCACTCGCACCCTGACCGTCCTTTGCATCTTCCCGGCGCTGACTACAACGCCCACGATTTTCTTGTGAGGAATCGCTTTCTCTCTTTGTCCCTTTTCATTCTGATGTAGGAGATCAGATGTGCTGTAACGGAGATGGGCTTCGGGTATTCTCGCTTGCTTCAACGGCTTTTTCAGATTGAAGTCGGTCTTGTTTAAAGGGTAACCACGCTGAGAGAATGGCAGCGTTGGGTCGTATGTGCTCGGAGCGGTGACACCCTGTTCTGCTGGCGAGACAGGCGAGGTCGGCGTGTCCGTCTGAGTCGATAGACATCGCTGACATATCCATTGAGAGGGCAATCGGTGTGGGGAGGACAGTGTCCGTATTGGAAGAGCGAGCGCGCGCTGGCTCATGTTGTTGAAGTTCGGGCGCGATGGGGACCTGAGATGGCCGCGTGGTCTTGAGAACAGTTGATCTTACAAGAACTGAGGGAGCACATCTCCGCGGCCAAATTCTCAAAGCGGCAACGCGTTGATGCCTGAGGCACGAAGCGTTGTTCAACGACACTTCCACGACTTCGCCTCCATCGCGAACGAGACCCATCGCGTATCTGGCATTCAGATCTCTCTTACCGATCACTCTGTCACAAGCCGAGGGCAGCGTGAAAAGTTCTTCAAAACTATGGAATCTCTACATTCTCCTCTTCAGGGACTGTACGAGCAAAAGTAAAGTACAATAAAGCGTATAATCTGCACAGGCATACGTACGTGCTAGCCATGCATCTGTAAGAGAGCATGTACCGTGGTGAGCACGGGGACAACAAGCAGCGAAGTCGTGCCGAGACCGACGAGGTAAAATCCCAAACATACAACCGCTCGAACACATCAGCAACCCAGGTACAGCGCTATGCTAGAGTCAGCGCATCATCTTCCAGTCGGACCTTGTCGCTCAACTTACCATTGGCGTACATGGCGTAGCTGTCTGCATTCATCAAAGCATCTTGTGTAGGCAAGTTGTCTGCCGAATGACCATATGCGTAATCCACAGTAGGCGGACTGAAAACAGCTGGCGCATGCGTCTCCTCATGTAACACGGTAGTAGCCTGATCTTGGCCATCACAGGTCTGCGACAGCGGCGGCAACGCTTGATAGAACGGGTCGCAAAATACGAGCTGATTGGTGGATGGCAGGGTGTAGGCCAGAAGGCCTGAAGAGCACATCCCATACACATCAGTGCACGACGCCGATGTGCCGTCAGAACTTCTAGCCGCACAACTTTCTGCGACAGCATTGAGCCGTGACGCGACAGTGTTCCGGACAGATGGATCGTCGGTGTGGAAGTGCTGAGAAAACAGTTGATCCGCGCCGGAAGCGGCTGTGCGGGCGGCATTCGACGCGAGGTCGGCGCAGTTCTTCAGAGCTGACTGTAGCAGTTGACCTCTGTCACCCGGACAACTATTGGAGTTGAGAGCGGTACGCTTCTGCTGCTTCGCGGCTAGATTGATGGCATATGGAACCGACCTCGCCTGATCACCATCGATATCCATGGTAAGGGCATTGCTAGTGTAGGGCACGGAATGACCAGTGAGCTCTGTACTTCCAATATTCGCATACGGCATGGCTCCTCTCGCGCGGATCGTATATGTGTCTGTCGTTCCGACCTCGTAGAGCTCGGCGAGGTCGATATCCCTTTGAATGGTCTGACCAGCCCGGATCGGCATGAAGTCATGATCGCTGAGATTGCTCGTAGCAATGCGAAAGGAGACCCCGTTGAATCGGGCACGAGTGGCTGCACAACATTAGTGGATTTGACATGCCATGGAGAAGGCCAAATCCCTTACCGGAGCCGTGGACGCCAAATTTGTCGGCAGGGGAGTCCTTGTCGAGGACCGACCCTTTGTAATGGAGATTATAGCCTCGTGAAGCCGTGTTGACCACTCTTGCGCGAACTCTACTGTTATCTATTCTGCTTAGCTGGACCTGTAAAGGGGCATTTGTGTCGTCAGGAACGGCTCGTCGAGAGTGGGGACATGCGTGGGCCAAAGCCACGCAGAGAGCCACGATAACGAATGATTTCATTTTTCCAAAAGAGTGTAATCGATAATGAATGGGATTTGACTGCCTGAGCCAGTGAATGCAAAGAAGGAGTGGTTGGGTTCTGCTCGCTAACATGAGATGCCGATCGTGCAAAACATGATTCTGGAATGCTCCCACATTTATAGGGCGCGTTGAGAGGGCCTTGTTCTGTAAAATCTGGACCTTGCCACCCGGGGACAGCTCCTCGTCTGGCAAACACAGTGACGTAGAAGTCCGCCTCCTGATACAGTGGACCTGTATCAAGTCGACCTGTGAAAGCTCGAGTTCTGCTAGCGAGATGGAGTTATGCCAATCGTAGCGTCGATCGCATAGGGTTGGCAGATGGTCGCGACACTGGCCTAGACCTGCACATGTAAATCTTGCTACAGCTAATACGGGGACCCCTGAACGTAGCCACTGAACACTGTTGCAGTCTGAAAACCGACGGCTGTGCGAATTCCCCCGAGAGGAAGGCAGTCAGGACTGTCTCCACGACGACAATGTTCAGGTTGGGCGAGGGCGTCAGACAGGACAGCGATCGAGATCGATTTTGCCAGGTTTGACAGCGTTTCATGTCTCTCTCTCTCTCTCTCTCTCTCTCTCTCTCTCTCTCTCAGAGCGGGCAGCAGCTATCGACCGGGTGCACTTTTCTAAAGACCGGGAGCAGTACCGCATTTCCCCAGCCAAAATTCGGCGGACAAACGACTGCCTTAGGCATCTGAAGCTAGAGGGCCCGAAGTCAACGATACTATTAGTTTGGGTACAGATCTCGACTGGGTCTTTGCCAGAAAATCTTGATCCAGAAAGTGAATTTTGCGGTACAAGCATTGTGCTTTGATCCTCCGCTTCTTAGACCGGATTTGGTGGAGGGCTACCCAAGATATCCAACCACCACGAACTTGGGCATTTGCGTGGAAAAGTGTCTCCGGTCGTTAGCAAAAGTGTATCAGGTCGATAGGTTTGCCTCAGAGCGATGCCCGACGGGGAGACGGGCGCATGGCAGTCTAGCCATGCCGGTCTCCTTGACATCCCAAGTGTTTTCATTCGACTCCATGTCCTGCGTATGAAGCAAAGTGTTCGGCGTGCAGTGGATGGGGATTCGTCGTGACCCGGTGTTTCAGCATCCGTTAAGCAGCAAGGTGAGGGCTCCCTGAACGAGAACCGTGTCGTTCCACGAGAGACCACGCCTCTTGTCGCGTGGAGAAGAATAATGACAATGAAGAAGTGCGCATTGTTGTGCGCATCTAACAAGAAGGGGAATCGCCACGATCTTCCTTCCCCGTCGGAGCTGAGGAGTATTGACTCCCTCCGGGGACTCGGAGTCAACCGGGCCGAATATGACGTGCCACGTGCTCGGCCCACGGCCCGTTCCGCTCTCGCTTACCTTACCACATGAACTAGACCAGCTTGTCCTCTTCCCTCTTCTCGCCATCAACATCATCAATCAAGATCCGCATCGCATGGACATGATCTGGAGCCTGGTTTGCCGCCGGTTCAACAAGTTGCATCCATATGGCCATCAGCATCCTGGACGAAGACTTATTACAGCATCTCGAATCGTTCTCCGCCTCGTACACTATGGACAGCTCTTTCCCGCAAAATCACGCCTTGCACCGCTGAACAACAGATTTTTCGGCTACTGTGACGCCGTAGGCATCGTGTATAGCCATTGCTGACAGTCCATGTGAGCGTCTGAAGACTTGCTCGCATTCGCACATGTCGAGAGGCGTGTTGGTATTGACTGGAAACTGGATGGCAGAGGCGAGGTTCTCGGTGAGCAAATTATTTGCTGAGGAGCTCCTTCGAAGCATCCGTGATCCTGTACGCACTCTTATGGCAGTGACACCCCTCAAACCTTGACTTTGTGACAATTCATCAAGGTTGTGGTCCTTTCTTGCATATCTAATAGATCTCTACGGATCATGCAGACCGAGTCTCCAGTCATCAATACGACTTGCCTCTGCGCAAATGCAAAGCACGCCATCGCGCTCTCCAAATCAGCGTGGCCCTTGAGCAGTCATGTCTGCCACTGCAACAGCTGTCACCCGACCGGGGTCGGAATCGTTCCTTTCACGAGGCTCCCACAAGATCATCACCCGGCACGGTCTTTCCCGGACAGACTGACATTGTTTGTCTTCTCCGAGAACATCAATCGCTGTTTCAGTCCACAATGCGGATCAAACACGTCCTCTCGCAATGCTGAAGACGGCCTTGCGAAATGTTCGGTCCCAACGGGACCCTGGAAGAGAGCGACGCGAGTGTATGTGATATATATGCGCATATCTTCACCAGAGACAGTATAGACGGCGGGTTCGCCGACTTCTTCGCTTCAGTAAAGGGAAGACGGTTTCGTTTCACAAAGGACATTGGTAGTGAGGGACTACTTTTGTATAGGAATTTCTCCACGCGAGCTCAACTTAACCAGCCTCCCTCTGGCAAGAGGGTCCACGGTTATTGCAAGTGTCGAGGTGTCGAGTTCTGGATTTCTCAGCCTTCAACACGCTCGCCGTGGGCGAAGGAAGCACACGAAGGCAAGTCCATCCCAGATCAAACTACACCTCTACCCTGAGAACGCGAAACTCCTGGCTCATGAACAACCGCACCTGCTTCAGAGCCGAGGTCTGCCCCTGTGACAACTGCCGCCTCGTAGCGAATGGCTTGACTTTTGCTCAACAGGCAAACATTCCGATCGTGGGCGTTGCACTCGATGCTAAAGGTAAGAAACCTATGCCAGAGACCTTGTAACAGGGTACTCTCAATTCTTGCAGTACTTCTGAGGAAGCTAACAAGAATTTCTGTGGAACATGTGGTATTGTGGTGTTCTGGAACTGTGCTGTTTGGCATAGGTCTTTATGAGTCTGCAGATGGTGCTAGGGCCGAGAGTTGGTTTCTCGATGGCGCACGTAGAATCTTCGACATCGAGAACGTAGTCTGAAGAGGACAAGAAGTTTGACACCGGCTGTAGAGGATAGGCTACTCGAATATGCCAAAGACGTGCAAAGCAACATATCTACCGGAGCACCGAGAGTGGAACTACCATGACAGAGACAAATGATTTAGGGCTGAGGTTATCATCTTCTCGCCAATCCAAAAGAGCACATTGCACGAGATGACCTCTGTGACCTATAGCAAGAGAAGGGCGTCAAGAGGGAAAATGGTGCGATGGAGTTTGCGACTCGGGTCTTGATAAGCCCACTGTCAAACCATCTTCAATCTGCCTGGCCTATACTTAAGCCCAGTATCCTTCGTGCCCTTCTTAATCCAATTCGTGATCGTACCCCCCAGCCCAATTATACCAACAGCGGCAGTTGGCATTCTTTGCACTCAACGTCCACGGCGACGTGTGTGTAGTCGTCACAAAATGCCCTCATCACGTCGAGCAAGCGCCCACCGTCCGTACCTCTTCCCTTCGACCGCTTTGCCAAAGTCTGCAATGCACACTTACAGTATTGCGTGTCTTTCCAGGAGAAGATGGTTCCAATGCGAGCGTCAATTCTGATTACGATTTCGCCGTTTTGCTCCAGGTGTGCCTTGATTTCGAAGTTGTGGTAGGAGTCTGGTGCGCGCGGAGACCAGAGCCTGTGGTAGACTTCTAGTCGAGCATGGCGCAGCAGCCGAGTAGGGTCTCCCAGAGATTTCCTCCAGAGTGCCAGCTTCCTTGACACGTGCGCTGGGCCGAGCTTCTGGTACGCGATCTGTGCGAGCAGAAATACGCATTCGCCGTAGTGAATGGATAGAACCTCATGTCGGATGGCTTTGCCGGTGGCAGCCAGAGCTGGCTGCGGCGGCGGTGCCTTGAACTTCGGACTCTCGCGAGAAGCATCGCGCTCTTTTGATGCTGCAGTCAGCTGCACCACATGTACGGGCTTCTCCTCGACAACTGCGAGGCGCCAGATGCGGTTCCTTAGCTCACCGGGCAAGTCGAGTAGAAAGCAAGCCGAAGGTTCGGCTTCCGTGGAAGGCGTTGCCATATCTCCTCTGGGCAGCAACGAGAGAAGCTGCGCAAGAAGAGTGTATGGGTGGTCGGCAAGAGGATTCAAGACTGGACGTGTTCGAGGCGTAAATAGTCCCGATCGACCGGCGAGTCTAGAGGCCGCTTGAAGCTGCCGTGGCGGCAAGGGGCCTTCTGGATGTCATGCACGGACGTTTTGATTTTGGTGCTGTGTGGACACAAAAAGTGTGACTCGTCGTTTCCATGTGATTCTTGGCGACAGGGGGGTGCGTCGCGACCTCCTCACCAAGCTCGATCCTTCCGCTCACAACAAACGACATTCCCGTTCGGGCTTCCAATCTCTGGACCTTTCCAGAGGCACACCCTCAACTCGACGGCAACATCCGCGATGGCAACCGCCGACGAAGCGAACGCAAGCTCCAAATCCTCCGTTTCTCCTCTATCTGCTCGAGATAGTACCGGAGATGAGTAACAGCATCTACGAGTGCGCCCTGCTCGGGAGTGGCCCAAGCAAGATTACCAAGGACACCTTTGCGCAGCCCGGCCTACTCAGAACATGCTCGCAAATCCGACGAGGGCGACTACCGTGTACTTCTGGAACAATCGATTCGTCTTCACGATCAACACGATGGACGCCACGAAACACATCACATTCTGCGTCCAGGGAAAGTTCGGTGGCTCATGGTGGTCGAAGCGCAAGGCCGGCGACAATCCACTTCATGTTAACATCATCTTTGACACCCTCAACCGGGTCAACATGATGAATTGGCCGAAGGCAGACTCCCACGGCAAAGCCGGCAGGTTTAGGCGCTACAACAGTGAGGGCTGTCAGTGCGATGGCGATGCTGTTGACGCTGTCGCGGCCGCCTTCGACATCATCTGGAAGCTTGGTCGTAAGCTGGCTTGGGAGACTCTCGGGCCAATTTGGGAGATCCATCTCGCAGCAATGAAGAGACGAAGTGCGGCTACCTGGCAATGGGACTGAACAGTCAGAACTCGCACCTGCGAGACGGATGCACTGCCATTGAGAAGTCCGAGCGCGCGGCTATCGTACTGGACAATTGGGGCGAGTGAGGGAGGCATGGTGTACAGCAGGCTGACAGAGAAACTCAGCGTTGGAGGTACCGAAGAATTCTCAAGAGTTGACCGTTACGACTGCCTCCCCTCCCAGGCGCTCTCAATCCCCAACCAATACCTCTCCTGATTCCCGCTCCACTTCTCCCTCCCATTTACCCTTCCTCTCTTGACTCGAAATTCCTGCCTCTCGCAGACATCTTCATCATGCCTTGGTTGATCCCAAGCAAACATGATGCCCTTGTCCGGAAACATGTAACACTTCCTTGCGTCCGCGTGTAACAAACGAGGGTCGTGCAAGTCTTCTCGAACTTGTTCGTTAAAGGGTTCCCAGAACCAGAAGATCGTTACGGAGACGAGTCGGGAGAGGATACTGACAAGAAGGAGGTAGAGGAAAAGTAAAAGTTGTTGGGGCGACGTCCGAATGGAATGGAGGCTGGGTGGAACGGCCCGCGGGACAGAGTCCAGAATGATGGCTCTGACGCCGAGTGTTTCGTCCATCCTGGCGCGATATGCTCGAAGAAAGCGGCAGACTTGTGTAGCAGCATCATCGCCAAATAGATGGATCAAGACATCCTGTCCAGGCTGTGGTGATCGCTTCTCAAAGTCTCCCAGAACGCTGTTCAAGACGCTTTCGATATTCTGTCTCGATACCTTCCGCGAATGGTGCAACAGAAGAATCGTCGAGTGTGGATAAAGCGTCTCATAGCTTCGCATGTAGTAATCAATCTGTTCCCTCTTGGCACCAGGCCAAAGACCAAGAATGATGGTCCTAGGAGGCTTCGCGGGTGTTACGCAATGCACTGAGGAGGATCTTGAGCTCGAAGATGTCCTTGATAAGGTGTCAGACTGGTTTTGCAGGTCGGAAGAAGAGCTCAACAGCGCTCTGTTGTCGTCGTCTTTATAAGGATTCATTGCTGGCAGTGCTGGCGTGATGGTTGATCCAAGAACTTTCTCTTGCCGAGATTCTGATTGTAACAACTGCGATGGTTGTTACTGCAGCAGGAAAAGGAGCACCACCGACAGACTTCCACGAGTATCCTTCTTGTCCATATATAGCAGCCGTCCGTCCAAAGTCGCGTGGTAGAGAGTTGTGTGGTGGTAGCGTCGGCATCCCCACACCGAAAGCCTGTGATCACAAACGCCTCGTTCCCATAGTACTAACCCTTGACGCCAGGTTGAAATCCACTTGTTACAGCAGTCTCGCCCGCTTCGGTACAGCAAAGCCGTTGCGTCTCATCTGCTGTGCTCCGGTTCTGGAGACATCAGCTGACGCTTGCCCAAGCAGAGTGAAAGACACAACCGGTTCCCACGTGCGCGAGCGCTATCAGCTGGCATCGGTGCCGAAAACCCGCCCTTCCAACTTCCAAAGCGCTGCTCATGACCAAGTCTAATGTAGTCTGCCCTTGACATCACTCTCCAAGGGACAACGCACTCTCAGAGGCATTGGCTGGGATGTTTCCATATCGCACATGAAGATCAACAGTGGCGCATCCGTGTATCCCAAGATAGCCACGGCGTTGCGGTACCGCGGTACTACTGTGGTAGGCCGCAGCGGCGCGCTCTCAGGGGACTTCCAGGGGAATTGTGGCTTGCGCCAAGACCGTGATAGTGTTGGTACCAAAACAACGAATCAGAGGATTTTCACTCACTTTCCAGTGACTTTTTCACAGCATATGCTTCTTCCAAGGCCACATCTCAATAGTGCTGGCTTTGGCGTCCAGGTTGCGGTTGTAGAGAACGTTCCGGAACTTCAGACCTGGGAAAAGAAGTGGTGATGTCAACGGATTTCGGAGAAACGATTTTAGCGTGATCTTGTCAGCCTCTAGCTGCATGAAGTGCCGGGACGTCGACGAGTCAGGATGGTGGTCCTATTCGTCATGTGAAAGCGCGGCGACTTGGCCGCTGGTCAGAAACACTAATCCTCCATATCGCTAGATTAAGCTTGTTCTGGGTGCAACGCCCTCGCTGTATCCATCTCATGCGAACCATCCAATCATGCTCACATCAAATGTTAACTATTCCAGGTCCTTTATCATTTTGCGCCTTCGAATACTGCGCCAACATTCCTAGAACGCCCGCATTCGCTCCAGTGGGACCATGATATGCTCCTTCGTCATCATCAGTGTCGCTGTCCAGTTGGTCTGCCGCCCCTGGAGCATCTGCATAGTCCTGCAGGTCGCTATCCTGCGCCATGAGCCGGTTCTCAGCAACGCCATGCCTAGTTGTCTCGTCAGATCGCTGCGGCTTGCCTCGACGAGGCGTAAAGCCGCGGGCAGTCTGGTGAGGCAAGTGCAGCACTGAAGCAGAGTGCAGATGACGGTCTGGCAAAGTCGTAGACTTCCTCGCGTTTGGTGGAGTCCGCCTTACTCCTCCAGTCGAAGGACCGGGTTCCTCGGCAATGGAGGGAGGCGATATTACCGGTGGCCATGCAGGCGGCGGTTGCCAACCCTGGACTCGACGATGGCCTGGACGATGATTGTAATGGCTGTAGTACTGGGCGAAGTTCTGCACGGATTGCGCCATCTTGTCGTCTTTGACCCCATAGTAATCATCGCGCAACCCGTCACCCTCGGCAAGGACCTGCGTTGGATCCTCAGCATTACTATCTTTCTTGAAGCCAAACACGGCAAAATTGCACTGATATCCGATGCCTTCCACGTGCACAGTCTGCTCCCTAAAGAAGTCGATTATGCGCTCGCTCTGCAACGTAGAGTTTCGCCAAAGGATCCATGGAGCGACGATAAGGCTCAAGATCTCCTCCACGAAGATGACGACCTTTAATTGAAACATAGCTGAGAACTCTTCCCGCACCTCATTACTGTGCAAGCGTTCTTTCCAATGGCCGGGCATGTAGTGCGTGTACAACAGAACTTCCTTGAGATGCAGTACCGGGTCATGAACCTCGTTGTCATCTGGTAGAGATCCTTGGGCAACAGTGAAGATGACACTTGTCACAGTTAACCAGAAGACGGCTGTGCGGCCTGGAGTGACTTCGAATCCTAGGAAGAGCTCAGGATCGAACAGCGTTGCCAATGCAAGGACAGCCGCAATAGCGCCGCTGACGAACGCCACGAAGCGGGCAAGTTGGTCGGTCTTGTCTTTGGGAAATTGCCTGAGGTAATCATTCGCGAAAGGCGCAGCCTGTCGAATACGGCGTTGGAAAAGGTGGTCCAGCTCGTTGAATTCACGAATCTTCCATTCTGCGTGCGGTGTGAAAGCCCGCGCTGAAGCTCGCGAAGGGTTCTTCGTGAACTCGGTATAGTACCTGAAGAAGTAAAGGACGCAGAAGCGGATGATGTTAAGAGGTGCCACGAAGATGCCGATGAGAGCCACGGTCCTGAGCCGTGTCCTCAAAGTGGTTACCAGGGCGCTCCGATTCTTCACATCGAGACAAAACACTCGAATGCCCCCCTTCTCGTCGAAGATGAAGTTGGTGAGACAGAACTCGATTGCCCATTCCAAGCTCTTCGAATAGAATTGACGCATTCCTACCCATGGTAAAGGTAGGCTGAAATCGATGATATCCTTGTTGTACATTGCGACGTAGTAGTTTGCCCGCCTCATAAGCCTGTTGGCGATGCTTTCGGCACTCAGCCTTTGCTGTACATCGTGGTAATCCAAGTACTTCCTGACTTGAGCGGAAGGATTGGCAGTGGCCATATTGGCGTTCTGAATCTTCACCAGACCGTCCACAACTCGTACCCACGATACGGTTTGAATGTCGTCTTCAGTGATTCCAAGCACGTGGACGTAAAAGTCGCGCATCCTTCGCAGCCTCCCGATATCGCCGATGTGTGAGAAAAGCGTGTTCAGCAGGTAGATGATGAAAAAGAACAGCGCGGCACTCTTGATCCAGGAGGCCTTGGCCATGCACTTTGGTATCATTACCTCCGTTGTCGATTTGCTTGTCGGGATCTTGGAGTAATCGATACAAGTGGTGAGAAACATCGCAAAGCCAAAGACGAAGGCTTCTGTACTAAGTTTTATGATGCGGGCGAGCAGAATCGAGGCAAAGCCGTGCTCCTGGAAGTACTGGTAGACTTCCACCAAGAAGTTGTCCAAATTCGTCGCGTTGGTGTACAACCACATGGCATTTGCTCGCGGGTCGACGCTGACATTTTGGGGAGGCGCTGCGCCTTGCGAAGGCCGCGAGGTAGGCCGAGCAGACCTCGGTGCTCTGGAGTGGTGTAGGCCTTGTTGTTCTTGTGTTGCTCTCCACTGCGCCTCTGCCCGAGCAATCTTGGAGTCCATCGTGTTCTTAGAGACAGGTCGACTGGTTGCTCTGTGGGCTTTAGGCTCCAGTAGCAACGACTCGGGCACATCTTCATCATCTACTGTCTGTCTCTTTGTCCTGGCATCCTGCCCTTGCGGCCGCGATGTAGATGCCATCATTTCTGGGCTCTGGCCTGTGTCTGTAGGCGTCTGTTGGTCCACGTCGTATAGGAAATTCTCCGGGTTCTCCTCTTCATCATCGTGGAAAGGCTCATGGGGACGCCGGTGCCGCTGTGCTTCGACATCTGGATGTCGAGCAGCCTGCCGTCGCATGCCCTCATACACGGAGACATCGCCCTCTGCAACGGGCAAGAAGCGAGACAGGACTCGCGATGACATGAGACCATCCATGTTTGCGACTGTCCCCCTTGGTCCCACCAATCTGTGTACATCGATGCTTCCGGGACGGCGCGTAGAGAGGCAGTCGTTGGGTTGTTCGCGTCAACAGCGGGCGGTCCGAACTTCACGGAGGCAATTGGAGGTTCTCCATAGCCCTAAAAGTCGAGGCTATGGTACTGGCAGATCAGCGCGTTCGGATGTTTGCTTGGTGGAGGGTGAGAGGCAGGTCAAGTGGTGTGGTGGGATGTGAAAGCGAGGTCGCCGCGTCACACGTCCGCGTGCATGTGAACAACGGCACGTGCGCTGTGACGTGGGGCCTAGCCCGGGCGGAGTCAAGCCCGAGCCAATCAGCCACGGCTGAGTATATCGGACCTCACTCACGTCTGGCAACTTCCAACATCCAACCGTGCCGCCAAACTCCTTCCGTACACCTATCTACTCCTCGGGAGATAGTCATCGGGAGACATGCTTCGATACAGACTCTTCAACCCGGATCCAGTGCATCTCAACCTACGTGATGGCATCTCACGCGAAAAAGACAGGCTTCCTGGATCTCCCAGCAGAACTCCGAAATACCATCTACGAGACATCCCTTATATCATCCCAAGTGGTTGAACTCTCTGTCGACCTGGCGGACTCTACCCAAATCGGAAACAAAAGATGGCTCCTCAGGCCTAAGCTGCCACCGCTCTTGCAGGCTTGCCGAACGACCTACAGCGATGCAGCTTCCATCTACTTCACCTCCAACACCTTCTACTGGAACTGCGAAGTAATCTGCGACCACACCAACACCTATCCTCTCCACCAACTCTCCCTCCTCAAGACTCTTCTGTCACCCCACGCACATCACTTGCGTGGTCTGGATCTATCAGTAAAATATCTCTCAGACTCAGCTCTCCGCGGCAACTCCCACTTATGCTGCGATCTCCACATCATCCGGAATGCAGAGGGCAAGCTGACATGCGAGCGCTTCGGATCGGGAACGCTCGGGCCGATGGGACTGAAAAAGGTCAGACGAATGAAGAAATGCTGTGTCTGCGACCTAGAACGCGCGGAAAGGTTAGCCGAGGCGGGCAATTGGAACGTCCTGGAGTTAGGAGAGTATTTGGTCCGCACTAATTGCTATACGAATCTGAGTTGGACGTGTGAATTTTGTGTAGGCAGAGGTGTGGGATTCGGAGCCGAGTCAGAACTATTGGCGCATTGAACCAACACAGATCAACGACGACGGCGTACAAGATCTTTAGGACAGCCACACAGGCCTCACCTCATAGACCCATAATCGAATGTTCAAATCAGGCTGCTCAGGCATACTCAATTCGCTGGCTCAAACATAAGTTCCGAAATATTGTCTCTTCTGATAATCGTGGTGTAAGGGGTCCCAGAAATCGCATCAGTTTGGGTACACATGCTGTTTGAACGGACTTGCCATACAGGCGTTCGTCCGCCTTAGCCAGTCTCCACGCGCTGAAAGAGGAATTTATCGTTGAAGAGGCAGGCTACCAAGGACGGAGCGGAAAAATGAGTATCTCTCACTGGAGTCTCGTCATCCCTGTACTTGGTAGGCGCGAAAAGTCGATCGGAGACCTCGTTCTTTCTCCGCTCGGTATACAAAGCTCTTTGGCGTAATGAATCGAACCTTTGCCGTGCCCGGTCATAGGTGACAAAGAATGTCATATTATTGATTGCCTTGCCATGTGCCTTCATCTGCTCAACTCGCGGTAGGAGATCTTGCAGTCGTCTGAAGGCTTTGTTACCTTCACCGTAAAGTAGAGGCATGTTAACTTCAAACATGCCTAGTAAACAATACGCCATGTCTTCAGGCCTGGTTGTTTCTCGCGCTGAGGCCCAATTCATGCGTCGAGCGACGCTGGCATGTCCTATTATGCCGGGATGGAGCAGGTACTCCTCTTGTATACCAGTTGCTTCTCCGAGTGCAATTGTAAGTTTCCTGTCGGTCTTCTGGACAAGGATGCTCCATGTCTGGTCGCAAAAAGTAACAATTCTAGGTGCTAGGAGCTCTTGCAACTGTCAGCCTCTTTTGAGCCATACTGAGATTTTCGCATTATTGTATAGACAACCTGTTGAAGCTCGATCAAATGGCTCGATAGAGACGCTTGAGGCTGAGCTGGATGACGGCGGTAGCCGAAATAGGTGCCTTAGGCAGAAATGCAAGACCCATCGTTGTATGTCTGGTGGTTCTCTTAGAAGTCATCCGGATTAAAAGGCTCGTCGGCCACAGTCCCTCTTTTCGCACCGCCACCGTATCCCCACTCCTCTCTCGCCTTCCTCGTCTCCCTCTCTTCCCGTTCTTCCTGCTCCCTCCTCTTCCTCTCTTCGTCCTTCCGTTCCTCCTCGCTCAGTACACTAGCAGGATCCTCGCCATCTTCTAGCATCTTCTGTATCCTACCAAGAGCACCCATTCGCATGACCTCTCCGTTAGGCCATGGATCAAACGGCAGATTCTGCGGTAAAAGCCAGGCCTTGTCCGTATCCGCGAGCTCCTTCACAGCTCTCGTGCCTTCCTTGCTGCCATCTTCTTGCTGTGATGTGCCCTGCGGAGGTGTGGCGATTCCGTTCGCGATCTGTCGTGTAGGGGCCTCAGCTGAGTGAGTGGGCAATTCAAGCGGTTTGCGAAACGTGGGCGGGACGGTAGTCTTCGATATGAATTTCGCATATGACAGCAGCTCGTCTACTTTCACCTCCCGTCGAGCGTCACTGCCATCGGTGTCGACGGCGGGAATGGACAAGATTTCCTTGCGCACGTCCGCGAGAAGACGGAGCGTGTTCTTGATCTGCTCGTCGAGAGAAACGGCTGTGCGGCGGAGTTGGAGGATGCGAAGGTGATTTTGCTGGTGCTCGACCACTGTACGCATTTAGTTAGCAGCTCTCGTGGGAGTATGATTGAAGGAGAGTCTGTACGTTGCTCGACATCCTTATTCACGGCTTCATCTGCTGCGACAAGCTCCTCGGCGGCCGTCGTAGATGGGTTGTATGCCGCGATGGAATCGGTGAGCCTCTGTAGGCTTGCGTCGACGCGCTGGTAGCTAGTCTGGAACTGTGAATACATTGTCGCGAGGTGATAAGCCGAAGAGAGTGGAAGTTGGGGAGGAGGCAGACGCGACATTCCCGGGCGGAAAGCTTCCGCATTATTCACCGAGAGTGGAGCCGATCACGACGAATACGGGTATACCAGACCAGTCCGAACGCTAGTGTGCATATCACTCTACATGTTGTCATATTGTCTACATGGTCGTGATTCCCTCATGCTCGGGGCAAATGCTTCACCCTGACTGCGCCCAAGGATGCCGGCCAGCCATCCGTCAACCCTCTACCCTCCAGCTCTAGCATTCCGAATCCCTTCCAACGCCAAATCACCAAAAGCGCCATCGCTCGAACATGTTTCAACCAGCCCATCGAACTTTACAGCCTTTCAATGCTGTTTGAAACGCCGCCACACGCTCTTGCATCCAGCCACAGCTCCAATGTTCATCCTCTCTCGCATCACTCTCCCCTAACCTGATGTCTCGGCCCAGGTGACACCGTCCCGGAGTGAACATCCACTGAATGCACTGATCGCCGTACCTCTCGCAGGCACTCGCACATGCTTCTTCACTCTTTGTCGCATCCTGTTCGAATCTCTCAAGACTGTTGAAATCCTCGTCATCTTCTGTGGCCAAATCCTCCCCGACCAGTTTCTTGTCATTGGAAAGATTGTTCCAACTCGTTCTGTTGACCGATATATGGTCCCCGATGAAATGGGCAAAGATGTCGCGATACAGGTACGGCTTCTCCCAGCCATGCTCGTCCGTCCACTGCTTCTCAAACTGCCAGTGCGAGTCGACTTCGATTGGCGTGACGTGGTGAAAGGTCACGGCCGGCGTGCACCAGTGATTGTCCGTGTAATCGACCGTGCTAATCTTCTCGCCCTGGATCAGAGGCCACGCAGGGGTGAGGGGGATGTCGACCGCAAGGAAGGCGCGAGCAACGATCTCATCGCCGCAGCAAGAGGTCCTTGTGACATCTTCCCAGGCCTCGTCGTATACCGCCTCGCCGTTACTCTTGCGAGCGGCCTGCAATGTGTCAGCAGCTTTGCGAGACATGACGATGCCGCTGCCTCCATGCGCGAAAGTAGTGTCCCCGAGCACATTCTGTGCGCCAAGATAGTATGGCTCCCTCGGGTCCATTGTCTTCAGCCAGAGTAAGAGGTTCAGCCATGAGATGCTAGTGTCGGCCTCCATCATCACGAACCACTCGATATCGTCCGAAGCCTCTCCAATCGCCATGTGGAGCATGGGCATGAACTTCCACTTGTCCAGATTCCACCCGGAGTCTCCTTTGAGCTTGCTCATGTCTTGACCTTCTGCCTGCCATCTCTGAATCTCTCTGTACAGCTTGAAATCCTCATGCTCTTCCTGCATCCTCTTGCTGACGGGTGCGATCGCATCGTAGAGGTGCGCCTCGCCAAACTGTTGTTCGAGATCGCTGAAGATCATGTAATTGGGTATGCATTTGAAGGTGGTGACAAAGTGGGTGGGGAGTTTCTGGTAGAGCTCTGTTGCACCAGTCTTGAGCATCACCAGTACCTTATCTGCGCCCGGAAGATGCTTGCATGTCTCGTTCGTAGATGCGGGCTCGCTTGGGTCCCATGGAGACGGTTCGGAGACGTGGAGTGGTTGAGGGACTGCGGGCTGCGCGGGAGCGACTGAGCTAGGTGGAGTGTTGGAGACGTCTCCTGGATTGCTTTCTGGTCCTTCATCTTGATGTGTCGTAAACGGGTATTGTCCTTTCCTGGCATTGTGATATGCGGTCTCGGCGCTGGGAAACCATGTATCGCGCCAAAGAAACGCGGCGACGAGGAGAAGAAAGAGGAATGCCAGTCGACTTAGGGTGACGCCGCGAGCTCCACCAAGAATGTTGCCAACGCTCATCCTGCTCGTCCGGCGTGGCTATGGTGTGCGCGAGGTGGGCGAGAGGGGGGACCTCATCGGTGGTAGATGAAGCTGCTTTGATCGCGGGATCGCAAGCGCAGCTAGAATCGGGCAACGGATGTGTCTTGGGATGTACACCGATGCAAGGTACAGCGCTGTGAGTTTGCGGCGACAGGTGGGTTGCAGGGAAAGAGGGAGAGGTGAGTCGAGGACAGGGGAGGGGATGCATGGCCACGATATGCACCGATATTGATGTACGAGACCCTCACCACCGATCTACACCTACCTTAGTACAGTAGCCGCTGAGGTGACCTTGGCTGCACAGGCTGTGTTGGTGATCTACAGTAGATTTAGCTTATTATTAGGTACTCCTCCGCTCTCCACTCCCGCACAGTACAGTACCTTATCTACTGTACGGTCCGTACGCGCCATTTCCGCCAAGAGCTCACAGCTGACGGTCAGTACATGTAAGTCATTCCATTCCGCATTTCGCCGACTCTGCGCCGTGTTCACTGTCGTATAATCTGTCGTATTCTCCGTCGTCGCTTCTCCCGCGCGATTCCGATTCCGTTCGCGGCTCCTCCAGACTGCAAGGGCGCTGTCGCTCTCGCCATTCCCGAGATCCGGCCTGCGTATCGTCTCGTCCATCTCTGGGTCATCCATTCGCACTGCAATTACCAGCAGAGCTCCAGCAAACCGAGTGCAAGAAACTTTTCGGGAGGGAGGGGGACCGAGCCAATGGGCGATGCTTGTCCTGCCATGTGGCTGCTCCTGGGTACCCTTGACATCATCCCGAAGCCAAAAGCCAAAGCACAAAGCACATGGGAAGTAGACTAGTAGACTCTCTTCTAGACTATTAGACTATCAGACTATTAGACTATAACTCTTTCGTTTCGGGTATGGAGTCGAGATGCATCTTCTCCTCTCCCCATCGATCCCCTTGTCCGGTCGGACGACGCTGTGCATCTTCACCATGCTGGCCGCCACATTCATCATCCTCACGGCCGTCTGGAGCTGGACGAGTCCTACTGTTGCTCTCTTCGGACCAGCACACGGTCAACCAGGCGACGTGACCGAGATCTCCCTCGCGGATTTGGCGCTGTCCAAGGTCCTCCAGGACGCTTCTCCCATCTTCGGCAACTCTCCCAGCAATGACACTTGGACCGCAAGGTGGATGGCGGCATACAGCGACGACACGCTCCTCGTCCATATGAACTTGCCCGGTACACATGATGCTGCGACTTGGAACTATTCAAAGGCCACCCAACAGTCATTGAAGCCCGTCACCGACCTGAGGAACCTCTCGGAGTCAGATCCATCATTCTACCGATGTCAAGCGAGCTCAATGTTTGACATGCTCGCTGCTGGCATTCGTGTCTTCGACCTGAGATATGCGTACGACGTCACAAGAACCACATTGGTCTTCTGGCATGGCAATGCTCTGCAGTCTGAAACCGCGACCGTGGACGATGTCATGTTCGCATTCTACCACTGGTTAGACAGCCACCGGACCGAGGCCCTATTCCTCTCCTTCCAACACGAGGGCAGTAATGATGATAGAGCCACCGAGCTCATGCTCTACAACACCTTGACATCTCCTGCGGCGCAGAGCCACGTTGTACAAGAGCACGGCGCGTTAGGAACGCTCGGAGAAGCGAGGGGAAAGATAACCCTCCTTCGCCGCTTCGATCTCCATCTCCTCCCTACTTCATATGAGAAATCCATGCCAGGCCTCCATTTCTCCCCACAGAACTGGACAGACAATGGACCCAACATCACCCTGGTCTATAATACTACCTCCCACGCCACCGCGTACATCGAAGATTACTATCAGCCTCTCACGCCTCACGGCTCCAAAGCAGAAGAGAACATTAGGTGGAAACTCAACGCGACAGAGTCGCACCTTCGCATGGCCGCGAACAGTCACCCCGACAGCCTGTTCTGGACGTTTGCTTCGAGCACCAACACCGGAAATCATCCACCTGATACTCCCATAATACAAGCTCTGGGAGATGGCGATTCAAACGGAGTGAATCAGCAACTGGTTCCTTTTCTGAAGCTCATGCAAGGCAAGAGATTGGGAATTCTCATGTTTGATTTCTTCGAAGAGCCAGCAGACCTCTTGTCACTATATCTGAGCCTCTTACCACCAGACCAGGCGAGGAATTATGGCTCATGAGTAGCGTAGCATGCGTATAGAGGGTCTGATATCATGGAATCACCGCCACAGTCCAGAGCCATTCCCGTCAACGCCTCGAAACCCTCACCCCGGAATCCTCCCATCTTTAAGGACCCCCAATCCTTCTTCGTCGACGGACGATCCGGGTGAATCAATTCCAACCTAAACTTCAACAACATCTGCGGCAACATCTCACGGATCTCACTCAAAGAAATGTTGTTCCCGAGACAAGTTCTTGTCCCGCCGCCAAAAGCCAAAAGATGGTGTGAGAGGACCAAAAGGCAATACACAACAACCTGCACGATGGGCTATACTTCTTTCGGCTCATTTCCATCTTCGCGACCCTCTCCCTATCCCCAACAAGCCACCTTTCCATGGCAAAGTGCCCCGCATGCTCCCCAGAATTGCTCGCATCGAAAGGGAAAACTACAGGATTCATCCCCACACGACTCTCATGAGGGAGATGATACCCAGAAATCTCATGGCCTTCGAGGGGCGGATGACGAGTTTATTGCAAGCCAACGCTAGGATGGATACGCATGGCTTCTTTCGCACAAGCGCAGAAGCAGGGAAGTGTAGAGATGGAGCCGGCGTATTTCGAGGGTAAAGGTTTGCGGCGTGGCGTCCGCGGATAAGAGTGTTGGAGGACTCCGGATGCGTGAGGAGATTGTATAGGATGGATCGCATTGCTATAGCTGTCGTGACGGAGCTGGCGAGACTGCGTGGGTTAGCGATTACCAGCTCGATCGTTGCAATACTCGGACTTCCCGTTGGCCTGCTACAATCCGTTCCGAAGCTATGGTGGATCGAAGACAATTCGGACTCTCGGCGTAGTTGGTGATACCCGCGTTGGAGCACACACCACGAGATGACTTTGAAGGGAGAAGCAGTGAGGTCGGCAAAGGCAGGGTCAGGTTTTTACATTCGAGATGGGATTGAAAGGCAAATCGGTTGACAATCCATCATGCTGAATGGTCGTAACTACGTATAGAAGTGTGCTGTTCTACCTTTTCTATCAATCTTCTGTATATCTACTTTTCCGGCAAACAGCTCAGAATCGGCTGCAGCTTCTTCAGCACAACCGCTTGCGTGGCGGCATCAACGTCCAACTTGCTCGTATTCGCCACCGAAACCGAAGCATAGCAGCCATCCGTACCGACCACGTCCCTCTCAGTAGGAAGCTGGTCAGAGCCACAAGTCTCCACATCCTTCGTCACCACCGGGATAGCCGGGTAGACCCTGGACAGCACGAATTTGAAGTCTCCCGCCTCGCTACATGCATCATCCACGGCAGGATAGTTGACGTTCAACCAGATGCCTTGCGGAAGATAGGGCTTGCCAGCATCGACAATCGTTTGGGTGACGTTTGTGGAGAGGTCTGCGTAGATTCTCATGTAAGACTCCACCGGAGCCGTCCAAGCTGTCTGGGAGCCAGAAGAACCGCTGAATGCTAGAGCCGGGAAGCCTTCCTTTGCTGCCTCGGTGGCGGCGCCGACGGTGCCTGAAATGGTTGTCACAAGCCCAAGATTGGTTCCGACGTTGGGGCCTGCCACGGCGATGTCTGGGGGCCCACCAAAATAGATCTGTGAGAGATTCTGGAGGCCGTAACGCATGGAGGTGACGGGGTAAGAGTTGACATACTGTATGAGATGTAAGCACGAAGCCAGAGCCACAAGACTTGAACCATGATGGGGTCCTCACATTGAATCGCGGCATCGATGCATTGTTGCCGAATGGCGGAGAGCCTGCCGGGCAAGATCCGAATTCACATCCATCATCTGCTACCGGTGTAGGTTCTTTATCACGAGATCCAGTACCGCTCTCGTTGTCGGCTGGGGCAGAAATGATGGCGTCGAATGCGGCAGCATCGAGGCTGTTGTAGAATTCGCGAATGTTGATTTCAGCCCACCCGTCATCGTTGCTTATCACGACATGAGCACCCTGCACCTGGGCCGCGAGAGGCAGCAGCGTCAAGAGGAGCGACGATGCGAACATGTTGATGGTCTTGTAATAAGGAAGAACCCAAGGGAGTAGGATGTCCCACTGCGTTAGAAGACGGGAGTACAACATAACATGATGATTATTATGGTGCCTAGAGCCATTTCGCCTTCCTCATCCACAATCTGGCGGGGAGCCAGCGGTTCGTCCTCGAATCCGCACGTGGACTCTGCAAGCCGTCAGCTGTAATACGGAAGTGACGACCAGATTAGCTAAGCAGGCATGATGTTATATTCGATATAGAAGTAGTGTTAGGTAGATTACATGTAACTAAGTAGTAATAATATTATTATGCCTTCCAACCGATGCACCTAGAAACATTGGGACCAAGATCCAGAAGACTTCTTACACTGTTTACCCTACCAGATATGTAATTGATCACAGTATCTGTTCGTACATGGTTCCGTCGGCTCTCGTCCAGTCGCATCCCTACACAACTTTGGCAAACGAAGCCAGAATTGCTTGCGTGCGACCGGTCTCGTTCTGCCGACCATCGATCATCATCAAGTGCGACAGCGATGTGGTGAAGATGGCACAGGACAGATTGACAGCCCCGTGTTGCAATCCAATACTAAATTTAGTTTGCTTAGGTAGTAGCCCTCACGTTTCGAGATTAGATCTGAATTAGTAATCAAGCACAAGCGTCTCGACTTGAACTCAGGCACAGCTGGAGCACTCTTGAATCAAGAGCAAACTAACTCCTCGATAGCAGGCACGATGCTATCGTCGAGATGCATCACAAGAGCAGCGCTGACCCTACCACCTGACGCTCCCCTGGAGAGCGTCCTACCCTTCCTTTCCCAGACCCGAACAATTCAACGCGCTTTCGCTAGCACGCAAAGCGACGCAAGGCCCAGGACGATCACCAGGAGGAGACGTGCGACGAATGACGGGCAAGTTCCGCCGCGTGAATCCGCTGTCCGCTCATCGGCTGGCCGCTTCGACGTAAAGCTGGGTGCCGAGGGATCGAAGGAGTGGATGCGAGAAAAGATTCGTGCGGACGATGGACATGCCGGAATTCGCAGACGACGTGCAGCGCCACGGACAACGGAGTTTCGAGATGGGTACTTGCCCTTTGAGGATGGAACGCAGGGCAGCAGTATCCTGGACAGGGTGGATCGCGGAACCATGACGCCGCGAGAGCTCGAGATCTTCGAAGAGCTGTTGCGAAAAGGTGCACAGGTGAAACAGCCTCAGAAAGAACCTGCCAGCCGCAGGAAGACATCAGATCAAGGGTACAGGCCGGACAGCAAACGGTATGGCGCTTCTGCTCAGGATCGCCCCGGAGCGAAGTTTCCTGAAGCTATCCGGCACCTGGCAGAAGAGTCGGCGGAGCTAAGGCAAAAAGCTACCGCAGTTGATACATCTGCTGAGGAATACCAGGCGAGTGTGAAGTCGATCATGGATCTTGCATCCACAGACGCAGATGCTTGGCGGATTCTGGAGGACCATGTCTTCCAGACGCTTAGAGCCATCGGACTGGATTCGAAGGATCAAGCGGCTCGAGATGAAGAGAAGACGAGAGACTTACAGCTCCTGACGAATACGCTGCCTGATCTTTTACTCCATGTCATGAGATTAATGGACAATCGCTTCCCTAGTTCACCCTATGGACTCGCCGTGATTCCCGCGCTTAGAAAAATTGGACCGTCAGCGTTCACACTAGGCGCCACAACAGACCTGTTCAATGAGCACATGCGTATAATCTATCGACAGTACAGCGATGTCGATGCTGTTGTCGAAGTACTGTCGGAGATGGATAAGGAGGTGTATGACTACAATGCAGACACGAAGGATATCATTCAATCCATCTTCACGCATGCGAATGTGGCAGCAAGAGGGCATCTGGGCCCGGGGCTACAGGCATTCTGGTCAACTGACCGTAAGACTCGCTCGCTTGAGAAGCTCAAACGATGGGTAGGTACAATAGAGTCAAGAATCTATGAGGCCGAGGTTAGGAGAGCAATGAGCAAGGCGGCTGATGGGCTCGTGGGCGATGAAGAAGAAGAAGAAGATGATGATGATGATGTTAGCGAGAGGTTGGCTATAGCAGACTCCGCCAATAGCGTGTGAAAGTAGCCACCACGTTCCTCTTCCATCTGTCCATTAATCATTCACCTTGCGCTTTTGGCACATGCTCGTCGGCAGCGGATATTGCAGGCTTTAAGTCGGCGGATAGGCTCGGCGATTTGATAACAGAAAGGCGAGGGCTTAGCCGCGGGGTGGATTGGGCAAGATAAAACCCGCGTAGACCTGTACTTAGCGGAACGACATCTTCGACCTCACCGTCGCCGTTCCCCTAAGTGTGCACTCGAGGCGAACAGACGCACACCAACGAAAGCTCCAGCAGTTTCTGCTCCGTAACGCCAACGTGGCTATCAAGGAGGTAGGAAAGGGCTGACCTGGTATATCAGCACACCCATCTTCCCCTACCAACTCTATTTCTCTTTCATTCCCGTGGAAAGGACAACTTCAACAATCGAGCAATCGATCCGACTACGAACAAGACAATCTTCCCTGTAAGGCTATACGCCCGACATGGCGCGGAATGCGGCGTAGTATTTCTGGGCGCTCATACTCATCTCTTCCCCAGCAGTATCCGTCCGTCATCTCCTACAATACGACAAGATGGACGCCCCTACGATCCAGCCCAGGTTCCTCTCCAAGCCGGAGGAGCTGGGTCTTGTCGCTGTGGGCTTCTCAGGCGGCCAAGTGAGTCGAGATACCACTGCCATCGCACACCACAAGAGAAGAAGAAGCTAATGCCGTCTCTCGCAGTGCAAACCCGGCACAGATGCCGCGCCCATGGCCCTCATCGAGTCGGGCCTGGTGTCCCAACTGACCAATGACCTGAAATACACCGTGAAATACGATGGCATCGTCCATAATTACACCGAACTCATGCCCCAATCCGACCCCGACCACCGCAACATGAAGAACCCCCGTGCAGTCTCTGCCGTCACCAAGCAACTCAGCAGTCAAGTCTACTCGCACGCCAAAGAGGGCCGCTTTGTCCTCACGCTAGGAGGAGACCACAGCATCGCCATCGGCACCATCAGCGGAACAGCCAAGGCAACGCGCGAGCGTTTGGGACGCGACATTGCGGTAATATGGGTTGACGCACACGCCGACATCAACACACCCGAGACCAGCGACAGCGGCAACATCCACGGTATGCCCGTCTCCTTCCTCACGGGACTCGCGTCCGACAGCCCCGACCAGCCCTTCGGCTGGCTCCAAGCCGATCAGAAGCTCTCCACCAGCAAACTCGTCTACATTGGCTTGAGAGACGTCGACCGCGGGGAGAAGAAGATTCTCAAAGAGAACAACATCAAAGCGTTCAGCATGCATGACATCGATCGACACGGAATTGGCAAGGTGATGGATATGGCTCTGGGGTGGATCGGAGCGGATACGCCAATACATCTTTCTTTCGATGTCGATGCGCTGGATCCACAGTGGGCTCCTAGTACGGGCACACCGGTCCGGGGTGGGTTGACGTTGAGGGAGGGGGATTTCATTGCCGAGTGCGTGCATGAGACGGGCAGCTTGGTTGCGTTGGATCTTGTCGAGGTGAATCCGAGTCTGGAGGAGCACGGGGCGCAGGAGACGGTGAGAGCGGGCTGCTCGATTGTGAGGTGCGCGTTGGGAGATACGTTGTTGTGAGGAGAGACAGGTCCGATGGGTAGTGGGCATGTCATTGCTTGGGAGTGCCCTCGGTGATGGCTGTGGGTATAGAGGCATATAGACAAGAGTGCGCGCGGTGCTAGCTTTAGAACGGGGAACACAACGCTTTAGACCAAAATATCCTCACGTTCTTGCCAGCTCTCTGTACTGATGGGCAGAGGCTCGAACTACCGACTCTTCATATCTCCGAAGGGCGTCGACCCAGGACACGAGATTGCTGGGTGAAGAGCTCTGAGTGCCGGTTCAAACTATCTGGTCTGACCTCAAACGAGATCGTTCGGAATCGTATGAATATGTTGGAAGGCCGATCTTAGACAGGCTGTCAGCCTCATTATCCACGCACTGCAGATAGGGAGACGGGAGAATGCATTGAGCATCCCTCTCCTGGAGCAAGATGCTTTGCTTGAGATGGTCACGATGCATCTCAACAATGCGGAGAAGAGTCTGAGTTGATTGTCATCCGCCGAGATAGTATATACACCTGCTCGTCGTCCTCTTCGCGCTGCAAGGCTCATTCACTCTATCCTGCACGCTATTAGCCTCGCTCCAGCACCAGCACCGGGCATCACCACAGCACCTACCTTCCACGCATCTCTTACTTGCTCTTGCCGATGATCTGATCCACATCCTTACGGTCCTGCGCAAGCTGAGCCTCCGAATCGGCAATCTTCTTCCTCAGCGCCTCGAGCTTCTTCTTCTCCTCTTCCTTCACGTAGAAGTCCTCATTGGCCTTTTCGCGCTTGGTGAATGCGTCACCCTGGGCGGCGCCTCCGGATCGCGGAGCACCGGCATCGCCTCCTGCCAGTTTCCTTGCGGCGACGGAGAAGTTGCGGATGGTGGTTGGCCTGGTGAGGCGTAGGGTCTGGCGGGTGAGGGCGGACATGCTGGAGGATTTGGTGTGAGCTGAGGGAGTGAGTTGGGCTTGATCTGGTTGATGAGGCTCACCTGGCAAAGGTCTGACGGTGTTTGGAGATGTGTTTGAGTTTGGACGGAGTTGTCGTGAGTGTGTATGTCAGGTGATTGATGGAGCTCAGGCACGAGTGGGAGCTCACGTGCAGCCGAGCGCGGCGCTTGCTGTCATTAGCTAAGGCAGCCGACGTCATGCCCGCCGTTTCCACTGTGCTCCGATCTGCTCGTGCAGTAGTGCAGTGGTGGGAGCGTTGAAGGCGCCATTCTCTCCCACACACTGATCTCTCTTATTATTATTTATTACCAGACGTGATACATCGCGGATTCCCTGAGAGGTGAGTGACATTCACTTCTCTCCAACGCACTGACCCAAGTTTCACGATCCTGCCGACTCCGCGACTTCCTCTCGCGTTGGAGGGGCAGCGTTGCGGGGCCTTGACAGAAAGCAACATTGAAAGATTTTTGTACTGCAGGAGCTTCCCGGGAGACCTGATGGTTCAGAAATCGGCGACGATGTTGCTCTCCTCTACTACACCCGTTTCAATCCCCATTCATTCGTCTTGCGCTTGCGTCTGGCAGGCCGCCCAGTGTGGCTTTCCGTCCATTTGCTGAGCGGCCTGCATTCGATTCACCTTACCAGAGACTGACAAAGACCTTTCCTCCAGCTCACATGCTAGACCGTACCTCTCACGACCTCCGATAAATTCCGCGAGACCGCTTCCCTTCGCTCTCCCTCTACAGCTTCAATTGGCTTCCATTGTCGCAATCCTTGTACAGCGATCGTCAGATTTTTCTCCCAGCAAGATGGTGGGCGTGGGACCAAGGCGGCAGCCGAGCCGCAGAGGCTCCATGGCAGACATGCCAAAGGACCTCTTGCAGGAGATCAAGAAGCTGGAAGAGCAGTTCACTGTCGATGCTACCAAGCTGAAGCAGATCACCGACCACTTCGTCAAGGAGCTGGCCAAGGGTCTGTCCAAGGAGGGCGGAAATATTCCCATGAACCCGACATGGGTCATGGGCTTCCCAACGGGTTACGAAACCGGCACCTTCCTCGCCCTCGATATGGGCGGTACCAACCTCCGTGTCTGCGAGATCAACTTGCCGGAGGAGAAGGGAGAGTTCGACATCATCCAGTCCAAGTACCGCATGCCCGAGGAGCTGAAGACGGGCAACGCAGACGAGCTGTGGGGATACATTGCAGACTGTCTCCAGCAGTTCATTGAATACCACCATGAGGGCGAGAAGCTGGATTTGCTCCCACTCGGTTTCACCTTCTCCTACCCCGCCACGCAAGACTACATCGACCACGGCGTTCTGCAACGCTGGACCAAAGGCTTCGACATTGACGGTGTCGAGGGCAAAGATGTCGTTCCCCCTTTCGAGAAGGCCCTGGCAGAGCGCGGAGTCCCCATCAAGCTGGCTGCCTTGATCAACGACACCACCGGCACTCTGATTGCTAGCAGCTACACTGACCCTGAGATGAAGATTGGATGCATCTTCGGCACGGGTTGCAACGCAGCATACATGGAGCATGTCAGCGAGATCCCCAAGCTTGAGCACTGGAACATGGACCCCAATCAGGAGATTGCCATCAACTGTGAATATGGTGCCTTCGACAATGAGCACCTGGTTCTGCCACGCACCAAGTATGATATCATCATCGACAAGGACTCCCCTCGTCCAGGCCAACAGGCCTTCGAGAAGATGATCGCAGGATTGTACTTGGGGGAGCTCTTCCGTCTGGTCCTGGTGGACCTTCACGAGCAGGGCGCCATCTTCTCTGGCCAAGAGATTGCTTCGTTGAAGAAGCCGTACTCTCTCGATGCCTCTTTCTTGTCCGACATCGAGAACGACCCGTATGAGAACTTGCAAGAAACCTACGATGTCTTCTACGACAAGATGAAGATCAACTGCAGCAAGCCTGAGCTGGAATTGATCCGGAGGTTGGCGGAGCTGATTGGCACGCGATCTGCAAGACTTAGTGCGTGCGGTGTCGCTGCCATCTGCAAGAAGAAGGGTTACAAGACTGCGCACGTTGGCGCTGATGGATCGGTGTATAACAAGTATCCACATTTCAAGGTAAGCGTCCCTCACATTGAGACTGAAGTTGAGCGTCGAGCTAACGACCCCATCAGGCCCGTGGCGCACAAGCCCTGAGAGACATTCTCGACTGGAAGGAGGGTCGCGATGGCAAGCCTCTTGGCAAGGGCCATGACCCTGTCGAGATCTTGCCCGCTGAGGACGGCTCTGGTGTGGGTGCCGCATTGATCGCTGCTCTGACCCTCAAGCGTGTGCAAGAAGGCAAGCTCATGGGTATCCGGGACGCAAAGTCTCTGCTTGAGGGTGCCGGTGCTGCGAAAAAGTGATATCACTACATGCCCTGACTACTATGGGTGGCGACAGTGGGAGTATTTGGAAAGGAAGAGGTGTACACACGCGCGCACGGTTTCCCTGGGACGAGGAGGCGCGAGGAATATGGGATGAGGACATGATATCATTGCCATGGTCGACATCACTACCGACCCTGATAGAGACACTCTGTGAATAAAGACTTGTATTCCTACCTATCTGTCTCGAGTTTCATTTGACAAAAATCACGGCATCTCCGTCCAATCGCTATGGACTGAACCACGGATGTCTCCAACTTGCGAGTCTGTATCCACAAAATTCAATTCCCGTCGAATGTGCGAAAAGCGAAGATGTGCCGACTGTCCTCTCGGTCCAGTAGCCTGCTCCACAACCCGCGGCATTCTCTCCACCGGCCCAGAAACCACACTCTGTCGTGGGACATCCTCTGCTCCTTCACCAGTGAAGACTCGACTACCCCTAAAAGCAGGATGATCCATCCTCATACTTCCCCTCTTCATCCGCCTCATGGGAACTTCAACCCAGGCATCCTCCGCTTCGGGTCGACTCCGATGGCCCTCTTTCAGAGCCATACACTTCTCCACTCGCGGCATGAACTCCGGTATCAATTGGACGGTCCGATTTGGCATGCGAATGTTGCCGAACCGGAATTCTTCCAACAAGATCCATTCGTAGACATCGCTAGGAATGAGCTGGATGGGCGACGGACCGGGGAGATGGAGCCAGATGAATTCCAACTTCCGAAGGGTACGGGAGAAAGATCTCAGGTAGGCGTTCAAGGATTTGAGGAAGAGGTCGTTCTGGTTTGTGTTGATGGGTGGGACTCCTGAGGCTGGACGATCTGTGCTTGGCGCCAGGTTCGCCGTTAGAGGGTTTTGGAGGTGAAGGGTGAGAGAGGTGATGTTTTCCCATAATTTCATTCCGGCTGTAGGGACTTCGAAGTAAGCACCGAAACCTGCCCAGCGGAGGTGGATGATTCCGAAGGCGTGGATGGGTGTGAAGTTGATGTGGCGGAGTTTCGGGGGACTGGAGCGTTCAAGACAGTAGCGGAGCATGATGAGCATCTCTTCGAGCTCGGTAAGACCAGGCCAGGCAGGATTGCCGTGAATGCGGAAGGTGAGTGTGACAAGGGAGGGGAATAGTTTGAATATGTATTCCCAGAGACGACGGTCCATGCGGACAATGTCCGCATTTGGACCTTCGACGGCTTCGGAGAGTACAAGACCTCTGAGGTTTGTGACTTCTTTAGCGCGCTTGACTCCCTTGTCCCAGAGCTCTTTGATCTTTCTACCGACACGAGGCCGTTTAGTAGCAGTGCTAGCTACGGTGGCCGTGCTGACAATAGATTGTCTGGCCAATGCGGATTGTCGCTCGTGGAGCTTGGGCACTGGGGGCAGGGAGACATTGAGTGTGAGATGTTGGCAATGTTGTGAAGCCTCTTCCAACGTTGCAACAGAATCATTCTCGCGGAGCGGTGCATAGCTGTAGAGATTGCGAAAGATGCGATGTGCGACTAGAGGAAGGACAGCGGTGTTCAATGTTACGGAAGTCTGTCGCAATCTCCGCAGAGACTCGTTGTCCAGGTGGTGGAAAAGTCGTCGCCGAATATTGCCATCGTCGCCAGTGTCCCGAAGGAGAGTGTCTGGAAGTCCTGAGCTCATCGTGAAACTTTGCAAATGCGCTTCGTCACCAGCTGTCGCAAGGCCTTGGGAGTGCTTCCATCATATAGCATGGCCAGAGCAATCCGTGAATACGTCAACCCGATCTCCTCGGTTAATGCGTCTTGCTCACAGCACAGTAACGTCACTGGAAAACGTCCGCTCATAAGCGGTGTCACTGGTGTAGTCCTTCTTTGGCCCCTTGACTTTATACCTCACCCCAAAGACGTCCATCTTCTGCCCCTCCTCTACAACCTTGGGAATTCGGAACTCATAATAAGCCCAATACATATCCAGTTCGCAGAGATGTTCTCCCTGGCCAATCCAGGCTGAATCGCCAGCGGAAGCCATCTCTAGGTCGTGAAATAGGTAATCAACTTCCTCGTGTCCGTGCTTGGCTTTGGTGTCTTCTTTGATAAACCACGCGGCAATCTTGTCCTCGTCCGCGTCGTACCGGTAGACATATTTCCTGTTTGCTTTGAGCACGAGACCGTTTTGCATTTTCAGCTCGCCTTGTTCACTGTAGACCAGCTCGCCGGCTGCGGTGTGAGTGGTCGGCTTGCGAGGTGTGAAAGTGGCTGTGCCGTCGAAGGTGCCTGACGGGAAGTCCGGAAGAGCGCTGTTGAGACTTCTGCGTAGTCGCCATGTGCCTTGGAGCCTTTCGAATATGATGGCCGTGGGGGTCCTGGACGCAGTTATACGGTCTATACCGTCCCTGGACGCAGTGATATCGTCCCTGGACGCCATGGCGGCGGATGTCAGTAGAGCGTCAGAGCGATGATCGCGGCACACGGGAGTTATTATATGAGATGGAGTCCGATCGGGATTTCAGCCAATACGCGCTAAGAGTTAGATACTGTTATTGACCGTAACAAGAGATGACCGTAGCCTACGGGAGACCTGCTTCCCTCACGTTTCATCAGACATCTCTGGAGTGATTTGCGGACGACGAGGCCGGATTTAGGGCGGACCGACAAGACCGAAAGCGGATTCGGCCTCGTCGAGGGCAGCGCAGTGGTCTCAGCCAATGGATCCAGACCCTCTCGAAATCATCGCTTCCCCACCGGAGGATCTGCTATACACAGTTCATCCAAGCAGCGATCGAGTCAGTGGCGAATATGCCTCGCCACGCCTTATATTCCTCTCCTCCGTTGTGCCGAACCACTGGGACTCTTTTTTACTGCCTACATTCTCGATTTCTATGATAGGCCTTTGACACGTTTATTGGCCACTCAAATATAGCGCCTCTAACGTTCGTTGAGAATCACCATGGCAGCGCCAGGTGAAAAGTTCTTCATCCAAGACGCTCTCAAGACTCCCGCCGTCCATCACGAGAGCTTTGAGCAATTGTGGAAGACGAAATGGCAGCAGCCGTGCAAGATGGGCGTCTATCCCTTCATGTTCAGCGCCGAGTCGGACTTCGCCCCAATTGTCGAGCGTCTGATAAAGGTATAGAGACCCTGATCATAGCTCAACATGGGATGCTGAGAGTGCAGTAGGAAGGCCAGAAGGAGCCATACGATTGGGACCGGTACGCCGAGGCCTTCTTCCCCAAGGCAGAGGAGCTTGTTCGTGAAGCCGAAAAGGCCGAACAAGAGGGCAACCAGGAGAAGGCTTCCGAGTTATACATGTGCGTCTCTCTGATGCCAGATTTGCGTTCCATCTGACAATGAGCAGGCGAGCATCAGCAGTCTACCGCATCTCTCGCTTTCCTGCGCCACGTTCCGAGAAGCAGAGATATGCTTGGCAAGAAGGCAAGAAAGCGGCCAAGAAAGGTCTCGCTATGCGCGAGCGACCAACCAAAGAAGTCATCATCCCCCACAAATACGGTAATCAGGATGATGGAAAGGAAATTCCATTCTACTACCATCTACCGCCTGGAACATCAAAGGAAAATCCGGTCCCTCTCGTTATCATCCTCACGGGTCTCGACGGCTACAGGACGGAGCTGGCGGTCTGGATCGAAGGCTGGTCGCAGAAGAATGTAGCCGTCATGGTTTTGGAGATTCCCGGCACGGGTGACTCTCCTGCCGCACCAAATGATCCAAAGTCCCCAGATAGGGCATTTGATTCTCTGTTCGAGTGGATTGGACAGCAAAAGGAAATCGACCAGTCCCGAAAAGCCATGTGGGCGTTTAGTACCGGCGGATACTACGCCATCCGCGTTGCACACACGCATCCAAACATGCTCTCTGGTGTTGTGGCTCTCGGTGGAGGCTGTCATTACATGTTCCACCCAGAATGGCTTTCACATGTCAATCACTTAGAGTACCCATTTGATCTAGCGACAACATTGGCATACAAATTCGGGTACGGAAACGACCTTGAAACTTTCAAAAAAGAAGCGATGAAGTTTTCTCTGCTCGAAGACGGGACTCTGGACAAGCCGCAATGCGCCAAGCTCCTCCTGGTAAATGGAGTCAATGATGAGATTTTCCCGATCGACGATTACTACCTGTGCCTGCTGCACGGTGCGCCGAAAGAGGCGAGGTTTGTGGAAGACAGAAAACACATGGGCGAGCCGGAATCATTCTTCATCATCATTCGGTGGATCTACGATCTCTTCGGTTTGCAAGGTCATCCAGGGGAGCAGATGAAGACGATTCCTTCGAAGCCGAAATATGTCGAGGGATAAAAGCAGCCAACTGATGAGACATGGAAACGCTGGAGTACGTGTATACACTATTGCAATCACGCTTACATTTTGCAGTTACTTAGAATTTATTAAATGTTCTCCCTAGAGACAGGAGGATAGCGAAAGGATACGGGCAAAGGTGACATGTCCTTGGCAAAAAGATTAACATGATGTCGGATACAGCATCTCGGCATTGAATGGTGATCTCGGAGGCATCTACCGCCGAATTTACGCGATCCGACTCGCTGTTGGTCTGCTCTTGGCCAGAGCATCAAAAAGACAAAAACATACAGCACGAGGGATTCTCGCCTGGTCACCCACGGCAATACTAGTCTCGCGGTCGCATGGTTATCTTTGGAAGAGCGGACGGGGTTCCGAGTTTTCATGCGCCTGTGGCCGTATGTGCTGGGGTCTGACAAAATCTTCAATTTGAATGCTGGTGCGACAAGGGCCGAGGTGGGTCCGACGAGAATACCGGCCGACGCGTTCATTTCGTAGTCGAATGCTTTGCTCTGGGATCTGCACCCATCGCAACCGTTTTACATCGCATCACGGGCTCAAACAACAAGATTTCAATCTCAGATTGATTCGAATTGGTATGTAAGACTCAATCTGGGATAGCTCGCATCATGGCCGGTCTAAATAGTCAATGTTCACGAGATCGTTCTGGGCTTCTTTTGGTTTCTTCCACTGCAACGGTAGACAAGCGAGGAGTTCCACTTGCGCCGCATCACAGTAACATCCATTGTAAGGGTCCTGGATACCTGTACCAACCAGGTTGGTGGCGAGATATTTAGGGATTGAGACACTGGACTCTTGAAGGCCTCTTGTAGTCATTCAACACCGCGGGCCCATATCAACCAGTCCTGGGTCTCAACGGAGTGCCCCTTTTCTCCAGCATAATCGTGTAGTAAGGGTTGTTGCTTGCGGCTGCCTCGCGTAACATGGCCTGCTCAGGTGTTTACGTTGCTGATGATGTGGTCAATCACATCTTAAAGAGCTTTCCGTTCTTTCATAAGTTTTGCCGCCCGGATAAGCAATGTCATGTGCATGTTGGCGCACTTATCAGGCCGCGCCACGACGCGCTGGGGATCAATTGCGCCGCAGAGGGCGACAAGACTTTCTGCAGGCACAGGCATACAGTTCAGGAGAACGTTGGATCGTGGCCGTGTACATAGGTACAGAGCAGATGTGATGGTTAGTGTCGACCAGAGACTACAGCGAGTCGGTGCCAGTGAAGACAAATGGATTGATCATGTAGTCGAACCGCTCTTGCTGTTTATCAGATACGGAGTCAAGGGGATACATATCTCGCTCATCGCTACCCACTAATCCAATTGCACAATGCCCTTGCACCAAAACCACGAGAGCCATCACCATACACTCCATTCAACCACGCAGCGTATCATCCAAGTTTCCCTTCTTCCTTTTCAACGGCGAGAATTGGAATCCGCTGCCGTCGCCCGCTGTCATCAGCATCGAGCTGCCAATCTTGCTCGCTCCAAGGAAGCCGCCCTTCTTGCTAGCACCACCAAAGGCACCAAAGCCTCTGCCTCCAATCAAAGTCCGTGCTGGCAAAGCCTTCGAAGGTGCAGCGGCCTCATCCTCTTCATCAAAGAGGGTCTTGCCTATTCCGCCAAGCTTCCGGCTCTTCTTCTCCTTCTTCTTCACATCCGGCTCCGCATTGAAAGACGCGAAGTCCACAAGTGACTTGCGAGGCTTCTTCTTCTTTTTGTCGGCGGCCTCGGCTGGCTTATCAGGATCCGGGCCGTCAGTAGTCTTGGTCTTGACCTTACTTGGCTTGGCTGCAGGTGCGTTTTCTTGGCCCTGACTGTGAACGTCTTCGGCCTCTTCAGTGACCATTTCCAGAGCAGGCATAACGGCTTTCTGCTTGCGTTGACGAGGCGCGGGCTTCTTCTGAATGTTTGACTCGCTTGCTGACACAGGCGCCAGAGGCTGCTTCTTCTCCTTGGTAGCAGCCGCTTTCTCCATCGTTGGAGATTCGATGGACTGAACTGGCCGATCTGCCTCATCTGCCTCCTCGTCATCGTCTTCCTGGGGACTCTCTGGAGCGATACTCGTCGTCTTGTTAAGGAACGGTGTGATCGAGAAAGTCGACTTCTCACCAAGTCCTCCCGCTGCTTTGCGGCCCCGTTTGACTGCTGGACCATCTCCCGGCGTTCCGAGATTTGTCGCGTCAGCATCAAACTGGGCTGCGTTGCGCTTCTTAGCGTTCTTGACAGCGGCGGGAGCAGCTTTGGCGCCCTTCTTCGCTGGTTGAGCAGCGGCTGCTGCGGCTTCCTCGCGAGCTGCTTCCAGTTCGGCTTCGGTCTCCTTCAGCTTCTCCTTTGTGGACCGTAATTTTGTCCGGAACTGGGCAAGCTTATCGTCTATAGTCGCTCTCTGTGCCTCGAACTCATCAGCTGCCTTCTGTGCGGCCTTTGCAGCCTTCTGACGCTCCTTTCTCTCGTTTGCAAGCTCCTGTCTCAGCTCGTCCAGTTGATCGTCAGTCCCAGCAACACCATCGGCGCGCTTGTTCGCTCTGGCGGTAGCCTTCTTCTCCTTTTCAAGCTCTTCCCGCAGATTCTCCAGACTCTCCTCGAGCTTCGCTTTGGCCTTCTTCTCCTTAAGTAGATCTTTCCGTACGTCCTCGACTTGAGTGTTCTCCTGAGCAGCTTCCAGCTCTTCCTCCGCTTTTTGACGCGCTCGCTTCTCACGGGCCAGCTCCTTGCGCACCTCATCCACATTGGTGTCCATTTGAGTGGTATCGGCAGCCTCTTCTGCGCGCTGTCGAGCGCGCTTTTCCTTGGCTAGCTGCCTCTTCAATTCCTCGAATTGCTCCTCCTGCGCGATCTCGACACCCGTGTTCCTTCGCTTTGCAAGGGCTCGCTTTGCTTCGCGCTTGGCGTTCTCTAGCTCACACTGGATGTTGCTCAGCTGTCGCTGTAGCTCCAGCTTCTCGGTCATCAAGGCCTCAGTGTTCGCGGCTTGTGCCTTTAGGTGCTGTAATTCCGGGCGAAGGATGGATAATTCTCGTGTAAGCGCAAGCTTCTCCGTCAGGAATGCCTCTGAGTCTTTGGCAGTCGTCTGTAGTGCGTGCGCCTCAGCTTGTAGTGTGCCGACTTCCTGTTCTTTGATCCTCAACATCTGTTCCACCTCCACCAATCTCGCTTCCGCGTCTTCTGCACGCGCAAGGTTCTCGTTCACAAGTGCCTCAAACTTCTCGGACCTGTCACCCTCTTGTACGAGCAAATCGCGTAGCTCGTCATTATCATCTTCTAGAATATTTATGTCGAACCGTAGTCGTCGAATGTCCTCGTCCTTGGATATAATCTCGACCAGGTTGCTGCTGCGCCCGTATTTGAGCTCGAGCGCGGCGCTCTGCAGCGATTGTTCGTGTAGTTTGGCCATGATACTGTTGTTAGACTGTGTTGCCGTGTTGGCTGTGACTGCCTTCGTTTGGGCTGCCGGCATAGGATGTTGGACTATGCAATGCGCTGCATGCGACGCGTGGATGTGATGTGATGTTGATTCGAAGCCGCGGCAGCCGGTTTGTTGATTTGTTTACTGGTCTGTGCGTTCTTCGGTTTCGGAATCGGGACAGCACCCCCCGCGATCTTATCTCCTCCCAACATCAGCAACATCACCAGCATCTTCAGTCAGTCTGTCTGTCAAAGCCCATTCTGCTTCCATCGGACCTAGCAGAACATCACCCGCCGATATGTAGTCCCGCGTACACGACAAGAGACAAGATCACCGCCGGCACAACTCTTGGAACCCCAGTACCAACAACATTACATACGATATAGATGGCCGTGCTATGGAACATACTTTACTGAATCGGTGCCTTCAACTCGGCCGGCCCTACTGTCTGGCCACACAACTCGCGAGCTCTTTCGTACGTGGCAAGTTCGCGGCGTCCATTCCTCTCGTTTCCTGACGCGAGTTCGGGCGAGTTGGTATGTGTTTCTGCAGAACACCATTGATAGAACTCTGGCGAAGCAAGCTCGTAGCGTCCATCCGTTTCTCTACCTGAAGCGAGCTCGGGTGAGCTTTGGTCTGTCCCGTCCGGAGACCTATACTGAAACTTTTGCACCCAAAGTGGCATCCGAGCCAGTGTGCCCCGTGAGCTCGAATGTGGATCATTGACGCTCGAGAAGTTGAGAGACATCGGACTCAAGCCCAGACTGTCTATGAAGAGTCGTCGGTTTTTCGGTCATATCGCCCTCTGACGGCTTACGAGACCGTTTCAAAACGGGTATCATTTCGCTCACTAGTCATCTTACAGAAGTAGGTAGACCGCTCTAGAGACCATTCAGCAGCCTCAACATCAACCTCACATCAAGCTCACAAGACGCGGCAGCGAGCCTCAACTCCGCACTTTCTGGCCCTCTCTGTTTGCGAAGCTATCCGCCCTTCCGAGGACCAGTCGGGGCAGCAGCTTTCCGCTCCCTCTCTTCCCTCTCCCTGATCTTCTTCCTCTCGCCCTCCAACACCTTCTTCACGCGTGTGATCTGTTCGATCTTGCCGGCCTGACCTTTGCAGTCCTCCGATCGGTAGGGGGGAGAGATGATCACTGCTTCATAGGCAATGATCTCTTGGTTGTGCCATCTCACATCGATGTTGCTGTGATACACTGTTAGCCCTTTTATGCCCCATACCAGGCAAGAGATACGCCGATGGGTTGTCTTACATTCTCTTCAACGAATCAAAGATGGCTTGTCCCTCGGATGTGACACCTCTTCCTCTGTTCTGCTGCTCCTCTTTCAGCTGCTTGACGCGAGCTTCCTCGCGCTTCTTCAACTTTTGTATGTCTACGCGTCCAATCGCCGTCGGTGCGTTCGCGAAGCCCCTGTCTCCAGAATCACCGGCGGGAGACGGCGAAAGGAGCTGGAAGTTCTGGATCTGGGAAATCGGAGTGACATGATAGTCTTTCGGTTGGGCTGCGATATTGGTGGAAGGATTGGGAGGAGGGCTTCGGGTGTTGACGAAGACGAGACCCAGCTTGGGATCTGCGTTGTCGAGTGCGCCCTCGAAGGTCTGCGAATGCGGCGCGGCAGTCGTGATTCGTATGCTGATGGCAGGCAGCGTTAGAACTTGCAATTATATGTCAAGGTAGATCTGTAACTGTCTGTGCAGCAAGGTGTCTGCGGGTTAAACGCCTGCGCACCATGAGGACGGACGTACCGAGCTCCCAAAGCCCTGGACAGATTCTCCAACGGGTCTGCCATCGGCTGCATAGCTGGACTACCCGCGCCAGACTTGGGTGTGCCCACCTTGCTATTCCGCTTGTTGCTAGAGTTGCTGTCGGCCATGATGCACCTTCAAGCACGGCTGTGTCAGGTCGCAAATGAATATCTGATCGATGGGTGTAAGGCGTGATCAGGGCGGAGTTTGCGGCGGTCACTTCAGGTGATGCACCTTGTCCCGTTCTTGAAATAAGGCAGGCACTTCGGTACGCTCTGCTACTGCATGAGATCGTACTCCTGCCTGCCGCTTGCTCTCGGTGTGGCTGGCTCCAAATCAGGCGTAAGGAGCGACAAGAAGTGAAGCGAATGAGCTGCGATATCCATTTTTAGCGACTGCGCTCGAAGTAAGGTACAGAAAGGGGATCTGATTGGCGATCGGACGTACGTTAGAAACGCCTTCAGAAGAGGTCGCGTATGCGTATGCGGGCGATGTGTTATAGACAGGAACAGGAGCAGATGTGGTGCTATGCCTTACCTTACGCTCGCAGCTTGGCGCACGTAGTGTTGTAAGGTACCTTAAGGTACCTTAGGTAAGCATGCTGGGTCACCCGATGCAGGGATAGCACTAGGTAGGTTAGGTACTGCATAGTACTAAGTACCTAATCCGGCTAGTAGCTTAGCGTATATAAGATAAATTATATATAGGCTATTAAATACTAATTTAGCTAGAAAATAGAGTATTAATTATTAAGTCTATAACTTAATAATCTTATAATAC